TTCAACTAGTGTTAAAAATCCCCCTTCCTCTTCTTCCTCCCCCACCCCACCCTCATCCCCCTCCTCTAAAGGAGCCGTAAGGCAGCATACTGTTCAGGATGCTTACACCTTGCATCATGCTTCTTAAAACACTGGAGCCAACTAATATTATCCAATCAATATCAAAAGAAAATATATAGAGAATTTTTATCCTATCAATATCCTTCCAAGTTTTTACTATTTCTTGATGAGACCTTTTTTCTGTCACATCACCTTTCTGCAAAATAATGCTTCAAAAAGCTTCAATTGTAAGGGTAGTTTGGTTCACTTATTCAGTTTTTCAGCTTAAGCTTGCTCAAAAAGCAGTCAAATCCTACAATGTCAAGTTATATGCTCAAACACAAGGCTTCTCATATCCAATTGAAAAAGATGTGATCCCCAGCCCATTCATCCAAATATCCAGTCTATGGTAAGAACTGAATGTTCAACATAGCTGCGAGATCAATTCCTTTAGATGCATTCCACTTCTTTGCTAAATCTGACAAATATAGTAGTACGTTATAGCAGGTGATGCTCTACCTCTACAACTTGATTAATCAGAGATATTTTGTTTTGAATTCATACCCACTCACATAAGAATGTTTCACAATTATATGATTATTTGTTAAATGGGCAACATGCCTTAAATATATATAGTACTACTTATAGTTTTCTACTTTTCTTCACACAAGAGTGAGGTTTTTCATTAAGTGTATGGACAACGATATGAAGAGAAAGATGCATAGCTAAAAAGAAAAAACTAGTTATTAACAACATGATAGGCACCTACAACTTTTCAAAGCCATGGTTATGGTAGCTTAACAAATTAACATGCTTGATAAACATTTTTGTAAAACAAACCAATATGCTACGAGGTACATTCGGCGAGCTACCGTAGAAACATGCATGGAAGATGTGTATTTCAAGATTTTTCATTTTTGAAGCTCAAAGAAATCATCAAACAATGCACCAAACTTCTAGATTTGACACCAGCTCCTTCAAAATCTTCAATATGCCTCACTGCCAATTCTGGGACATGTAAGATATGATTTGGCTTCTATAGAACAACACATCATATTAAGAAATATGTGCATACAGTTGAGACAACATCATATTGCATTATCATATTCCAGCAATGATCTGCAAATGGACACTAACTCTTTCTAACAGCCTGTGCAGAACCTCAATTCAAATTCTGGGAAATACGAGATATCTTAACATGTTTCTAGTAGCATTTGGCAGTAATCTGTGGAAGTATTGAACCCATACAAACTTCAATAATGATGACTTCACCAGGTTATGACTCTTCTAAGGCATGACTCATGCATTGAACATGGGGGACGCTAAAGAACACCGAGTTTAGCACGAAATAGTGTCTTACTAAATTATTATTTTTTTTAGTTTTTAAGTCTGAAAGCAATCTTACCAACTACACATATCCTTCAATCGCGAGGGTTAATGCCTGATCCCTCTCTTCAGTGGATGAGAGTGAAGAATGGATGTTTATTGCTACACCAAGAAACCAATGCTGACCCCATGTGAAAGGTAAAAGCCAAATCTGCATTGTTAAAGCCAACCAATTCGAAATCGGCACCTTCAACATAAATAAACCATGGCAACCGACATCTCAGATTGAACGTAAGATCTTCCCAAGTATATTCAAGTGATCTTCACATGGATCATATATCAATAGTGAAGTCCTCATGTTATTCAAGAAATCAATCTCTCATTGCCCATTGAGAAAGTATGCAATAATCTTCGTTCATCAAATAAAAAGTGTCATTTGGTTGTGACAGTTGGAGAATGTATTGCATGCATCATACATTGGTTTTGTACAAGGTAAACAGGTAAAACTTCATGCATGGAATACATTATTCTTTAACAAAGACATACAAATTTTCTGCATCCAAGTAAGTTCTGCGGAACTATAACTGTCATATTTTGAACCAGTGAAAAGTCCACGACTGTAAACCTTCCTAACTTGCCTCCTACAAAAGCATTACTTCTAACCAATGTAACTGCAATCATTTCTAGAAAACACTAGCTCACAAAGTCAAACCAACTCTTGAAGATAAAAAGACGATTTCTCACTTGACAAATCAGATATAAATTTGTCATGTAACCAACCCAAACATTATCTGATATCCGATTATTTTTCATTTAATGATTCATTAAAAAGAATATTCTTCACTTAATGCATTCTTATTCATCATGCTCCACAGCAGTGGTAATCATGCATTCATGCAATGACACTTCAAAACAAAAAGATTTTTGTAGATTAGCACATCGTTATAACATTTATTTAGAAAAAGCAACCAAGATTCCAGCATTTTTCGTTGTGATGTAACTTGGTTAGAATTATAGTAATTATTAGAGCTAAGAGCTCCAGCAAACAAGATCTGTTATTAAATATATAGACACATGCATGATGAAGGGGATGAAAGGGCTAGAGATTGACCAAAAAAGACATGGGAATGATTCAAGTGCCACAAATTTAACAATGGATATGACTTTCAACAAACAGGATATATGTAGCCAACTGCCAACCCCTTAGAGTTGGGATAAGGATTGAATAATGATGATGATGAGATGATATGTGCATGTTAACATACTTACAAATCAATGAAATAAAGGTGGTTAAGCAATAGGTGTTTTTGGCATCACAAGTTCAGATAATGCCTAGGCAACAAGTCAACAACTATGTAACTCAGACAAAAAAATATATATACTATATGCACATTTTATAATATAAATGCACAACCACAAATATGTATTATTAAATCTTATATTAACCATAAACTACAAAATTACAAAACTCAGTAAATTACCGAAATGACATCTCAGACTAGTAAATGGATTCCAAGGTTCCACCAATGAGGGGAAAAATTAGTTATTTGTCCCCATGAAGATGTGTATATCTATACCATGCACAGTCTAGCACACAAAAGGATAAAGCATTTTGGCTCTAAATGCACTCCTACTGACCAGTAAATGGATTACAAATTCCACCGATGAGGGGCAAAATTAGTTATTTGTCCCCATGAAGATGTGTATATCTGTACCACCTGCCTAGTCAGTAATGGGCATCCAAAATGCCTAGGGAATTGCCTACTCAATGCATAGGATTTCACCTCACTACACAACTACAAATATACCGCGGATGCTCATGTCAGGCATAACCAACAATACATATATAAAGTTTTACAGAGAGAGAGATTGGGGGAAAAAGTAGTACAATAATGGACTAAGCGCACTCAAAAAACTTAATATCACATCTCTTCATCAAAGTTCCAATTCAAACTACTTGTGTGCATGCCAATTTTAAAGAGATTTTAGTTTACAGCAGAGACATAGCGTGTAAATTCAGCACTTACAACCACACATCTATTTTTCCTACAATTGCAATTTAAGACCATATCCATTGATTTGCCTATTATTTATTGCAAAAGAACTCGATAGATGTCTCATTCAAGATCCATACAAAAGATACACGTCTATATAAAGATTACCACAAAATTTGCTAAAACAGCTAGAAAATGTGCTCATGATGCAATGCCATCAGTACAATTGAGCAACTAAAAAAGATATAATTGGCATAAGTTATATAAAGGCAAAAAGATCATAATTAAATTTAAAACAAGGAGCAACGAGGACAGATTTATGCTCCTAACCATCAATCATAAAACCACAATAATACAAGGTTAAAAATCGAACCTGATTCATTACTTCTTTTATCATTTCTCTTGCCATCTCTATCTGTTTTTTATTACCAGTCACGCGCACAGTTCTTTCCTTTGATTGGTCACCCTCAGGAAGATGTTGTGGTATCAGCTAAATGAGAACAGATTGTTAGTATTTGGATAATCCAAATACATTATATATATTGTAGGTTCATTTTTTTCCATTGTCACAAAAACTTAAAACAAGGTCATACGATATCAACTACCTGGATGCGTGCCCCAGATCTGGTCTGTAGGCTTTTAATTGTCTCCCCACCTTTCCCTATGATCAAACCAACCTGTGCAAGATTATAGTTTAGTATAAATAAACTAAAATTTAGACACACAATGCCACCACCCAGGCTACAAAAACTACCTTCTCATTTGGAACCTGTATCTGTATTTGTTCTGTGGCTCCACTAGCTTGTGCAGTACCAAAGCCCCTTGCGACAAGGGAAGGGGAACCCCCTGCATCAGCCTGAAACAAGATATAGACAAACTTCAGTCAATATATAAAGACCTGCAATTTAGGGGAACCAAAAAAGAGAAACATGAAAAACACAAAAAAAAAGAACAAAACAGGTAGATAAACAGAATCGAACCTCTGCTATAACATCTTTAATCAACTTTTCGGCTTTATTTATATTTTCCAGAGTTCCTATGAGTTCCACAGGCCTGGTTGAAGAATATGGATCAGCATCAGCATCTCGTGTGATTTGAATTTTTGCCCCAGAATTATATTGCAAGAATCGGATGGTATCTCCAGCTTTGCCTATAAGAACGCCAACCTGCAATGGGCAAACAACAACAAATTATAAACTGTTCGTATAACAAACAAGATAAAGAAGGCGCGACAAATAACCCAAGATAAAGAAAAGAAAAGCTCCTATTAATCAATTACAGAAGAAGTTTATTAACTGATCTAGAAAATGTAAGAAATGATCAAATTTCCATTCACAATTACCAAGTTTTCTGAACATGAAGGAACCTCAGACCAACCTTATTTAGTTTCTAAATTTGGCTGCTCTTTCTCTATTCAGCACTAGAAATTTTTTTGTGGTGCTAAAATGAAACACTTGATGAGGACCCTTTAATAAATACACAAAAATATTTGCATGAGGACCCTTTATAAGGATTTCTAGCATGACCACAAATAACAACTTCCATCAGATCGACATGTTCATAACTTCCTTCATATCATAAATTCATAATAAGAATAGCTGGCTACCACAATTTTGTATCTTGTAATTTACCCCCCATAAAACCCTTCCTGAATGGGATAAAAGCAACATATCCACACAGGTAAAATAAAAGAAAATATCAAAATTGGAATACAAATGTAAAACACAATTTACAGGTGACAACAAAGGCTGTGGATTTCCTTTTTATATTTTGATATACGCGTCAAATTAGTTCCTCTGATCAAGCAGGAAATTATGAAGAACATAAGATAAGGATTACCATAAGATTGTTGGAACGTACAGGAAAGATATGAAAGCTGCAAATTCCGATATCAGTGATAATAATTGTCAGGATTTTATAATTTAATTTGCAATAGATTCAAATCTCTTGCATGTAATGATCAGTCAATCATGTCCTTTTGCATCTTTTACTATAGCTATACTAAGAAAAGGGCTGCTTCCAGAAAAGGTAACCAAACACCCCTTGTAATTTTGCAGATTGCCCAGGCTGTAAAATAAATTGCATACTTTCTCAACAAAACTACAATACCAGCAAAGGTGCATGCATTTATTCAAATCATCAACCAGTATAATGCAAGCCCCATTTAAATGATAAGGACCACCTTTCCCTTCCCAGGATTGTCCATCCAAATTTCCAACTTTGAACTCACAAAAAATTCTACAGTCAACCTTAACTAGTTCCACTTGTAGTAACCTATGCAGCACATCTCTTGACAACATTGACTGACAATGATTTTGCACCATGTTGGAGAGATGATAAATAGACTACAACAAAGATTTCAAGGGAAAGTACAGCTATTAGTAAATAGACTAGCACGAGATCAAGAAAAGCATGTAAGTTGAATGCATAGTTATGTTGATTAAAAAACAGAAACATATATTATTAGTGTACATGCCTTATTATTTGGAGTAAATAGACTAGCACGAGATCAAGAAAAGCATGTAAGTTGAATGCATAGTTATGTTGATTAAAAAACAGAAACATATATCATTAGTGTACATGCCTTATTATTTGGAACTTCCATTTTCCGTGATGTAGTCTGCGTATCGGATGCAGGCGGTTGTTGTGCAGAAGCAAGTTCTCCTTGTTGGGGAATCATGGAGGTTATTTGAAGATTGCCTCCTGAAGGATGTTGATTGGTGCCTGCCTGAAGATTCTCACCAGAGAGTGCTTCACCACCATTTTCAGTCTGGTGAACATGATTTTCAAGGTTTACAGTACCAGTAGATGGGGCTTGAGCATTTTCTGTACCATCTACAGATGTATTTTCAACTTTCTCTGCAGGCATCTCTTCTGACTCTTGCACCTGGTGGCCATTCTCAGCAGCTAAAGAACAGAAGAAACACAAAGGCCATATTAGTTAATTTCTTTCTTTTCAACCATATACAAGTTATAGCAAATATTTACAATATAAAAAGCACAATGGGCAGTCTTCTTTTCTTTTTTCAAGAGACGTAAATCCACAAGCCAACTAATGGATACGGAAGGGACGGCAGGGCAGGGGGAGATGGGAAGTATGGCATGTGCATCTATAGAATACCCAGAATAAATTGCCTCTAGAATGCGATGCTTATCACAATCAGCAATTGTTCAACATACAGATTGATTCACTGCATCTACCATCTAAGGAGGCAAAGTTAACCATCCAGCCAATTTGAAGACCTAATAAAAGGCATTGCAAGCAACGCTAAGTGAGCTTATTCCACTATAGTTTGAATGTAATGAAAAAACATATGATGTATATAAGAGAGTGAGGAAAGAGATGAAGCATAAATAGTGAAAGAGGATGGTTTCCGCTCAGTTTCCGTCTATAAAAAATAGAAGAAATGAAAAAAAAAGGAATAAAAATGAATAAGATCTGAATATTAGGAAAAAAGGGATATCCCCCGCTTCAATGCCATGAGCGGTCACAGTTAAATGCTGTAAAAACTTATTATTTCCAAGTAAAATAATTTTGATGACGATTCTAAAAACCTTCACAAAAAAGGAACAAACTTTCGAAACCCTAAATCGTAGACCAATTATGAATATTAAAGAAGACTCATCACCAAATGCTTAAAATAAGCCTAAAAGAATATACAAGTTGGCTCAGAATAACAGATCAATTTGAATATTTTTATAATATCCAAGCATGCAAACTCCAAAATCCACAAAACCAAACAAATAGATGAAGCTGAGGATATAAGAAACGAGGTTTCAAAATAAAGACAAAAACGATGAACCTGAAAGATCGGTGGTTTCTTCCTCCAGGCGAGGCCGCTTCACCTTGGGAGAAGTCGAGTCCTGCTCGGCACTCTCTTGGGGTTTCTCCGTATCATTCTGCGCCTCATCGGAGTTCGCGTTCACATTCTCATCTGCTGCAGCTTCGTCCGGAGAAGCATTCGAAACGACCGGTTCTGGAGCTTCAGGTTCCACATCTTCAAGCTTCCTCTTGTGATCTGAAGGCACAGGGCTTCCATCTCCTGCTACCGCTACCTCTTGTTCCGCCATTGATTTGCACTGAAAGCGCTAACTTTCGCGCTCGACCAAGCGAAATCCGAACAACGGTTTCGAAATAATGGGGGAAATTAGAGAAATTAATGTAAGAAAAAGGGGGAAAAAACGGGGACGGAGATCTAAGGGTCTTACTCAGAGAGAGAGAGAGAGAGAGAATGAGAATGAGATAGAAAGAGAGAGAGGGGACAGGAGTGGAGATGAAGATAAAGGAAGGATTGTAGGGTTTAAGACCTTAAATAGGGCAGAACGCAGATACCAGATATTTTTCTCCCTCTGGTAAAAGAGAAATTATACTAAACAACGAGTTTCTTTAACACTTATAACTTCGCACTATAGACATGATAGGGGACCCATGAAATGACAAACACTAAAGAGATCTAACCGTTGCATAAAAGTTTAGTAGAACGGTAGATAGGTAAAATCATTTAACTCTCAAGAAATATTATTGTTCAATTCTTCTTATACTCATAAAAAGGGAAATTTCTTTTTTAGTATTCTTTTTATTTTGACTATTGAGAAGGCCAACCACCTGGTCCAATATCTAGCTGAGCACCTGATTTAGTTTTGCTTATTTGGAAACACCAGTAAGAAAATCTGTGTGATACACGGGTATAAAAAGTAGAAACATAAATAACATAAATAAATAGCAAGGTGTCAACCACCTAGTGGGTAAGGTCTTGTGGGATTTGAGATGAATCGTGCCTACACCTAAGTCGGGGGATTATGGGTTAGGGGATGGGCTATTCCCATTGTGTAGCTCTTAAAAAATTAATATAAATAAGTAAAAAAAATAAAAACATACTTAAATAAATAATTATATCTAATTAATTTATTATTAGTCAAAGGTAAATTATTGTATAATAAAAAAAGAACTTGCCAAAGGTATTTTTTTAATTAAAAGTTTATTGGAAAAAATATTAAAATTTTATGGATAATAATATATTTAATTTATTAAAATAAATAAATAAATAATCAGGCGAGAGAGTGAAAGATGGAGAGATAACTTTTGCTATGGTATTTTTGTATTATATAGTGGCATAATCATAAATAGTTAAATAATAATTAATTTAATCTAATCTAATCTAATTTAATAAATAAATTTAGTAAAGTAAATGACATGATTCTAGGTCTTACTTTGCTAGCAATAATAATTTGTCATATTGTTAAAGTATTAATTAATTAAATAATTTAGTAAATAAGTAAATAAATAAATAAAATTTTATGTATTATTGAGACAAGGCTAGTTTAAATCCATCTTAAATTATTTAATTAATTAATTTAGGGCTATCAATGGGTTGGGTCGGACTGTTTATTTATTTTACTAAATTAAATTATTCATTTACTTACTTTAATAAATTAAGTAAATTATTATCTATCAAGTTTTATTTATTTAATTTACTAAATTATTAAACTAATCAATAATTTATTTTACTAACAAATCATTTCTCTCACTCTCTCTCCTCAAGCCCAATAGTTAGGTTTGTCAATGAGTTGGTTTTGGTTTGAGATAGCCTATACAAATCCCGTTCCAACAATAAATAAACTTTTATTTATTTATTTACTTATTTTACTTAATTATTTAATTAATTTAAGGTTATCAAATGGACTGTTGGCCTACCTGGCCCACTCTTAGTCGGGCTTCGACAAGAATTTAGGCTTGTAGGCTCAAGCTCAGGCCCAAAACACTAGGCCTGACATTTTTTTAGCCTAAGTTGTCAACGGGCCAAGCTGGGCTATCGAGCTTAGACAAAAATTTAGGTTTGTAGGCTCGAGCTCAGGCCAACACCAAGCCTAACTTTTTTTGGGTCAAGCTCAGGCTTTCTTAAAAAACTTGGCTTGAGTTCAAGCTGGACCAAAAAATATTTTTATTCAATAAAAATATATTTTATATAAAAATCTATGTTTTATGTAATGAAATAGTATAAATAAATAAATCAATTTTGTTGTTAAATAAAGAATAAAAATATTTTTCCTCGATTTCTTGCCTATGCTACGGGCTCAATTTCAAGATTCAAGCTTTCTATGAGGATCATGCTCGAGCTCAAGATCTAGGCCTGATTATCGATTGGGTCGAGCTCAAGCTTAGACCTAAATATGTTCTATTGATATATTAGTAAAGCCAGCCCAAACCCAATTAGTGAATAGGTTTAACCTGTTGATAGCCCTAAATATTAAGCTTGGGGAGAGAGAGAAAGAGAGAGAGAATTTATTAGTAAAATAAATTATTAATTAATTGAATAATTTAGTAAACTAACTAAATAAAATCTATGGATAGTATAGTAAAATAAACAAATAAATAAATGGGATAGGATTGGTCCAAGCTACCCAAAACCAAACTCGACCCATTGACAATATTGGACTTGGGTTAAATTGAATAAATAAATGGATAGTAATTTATTTAGTTTATTAAAATTAATTAATTAATTTAGTATAATAAATAAATAAAATTCCATTTATTATTGGGACAAGACAAGTAGAGGCTATCCCAAACCAAACTTAACTAAACTAAATTTATTAAATAATTTAGTAAACTAACTAAATAAAATCTATAGATAATAATTTAGTTAAATAAATGAATAATAAGTAAATAAATATTCATTTATTATTGGGATAGGGCTGGTCCAAGCCATTTAGAACCCAACCCAACCTATTGACAACCCTAAATATTAGGCTCGGGGAGGAAGAGAGTTAAATAAATAAAATGAGAGAAAAAAACAACTTTTAACAAATATGAAAGAGGTAAAAGTTTATTAATGGCATCATTGTAAATAATTAGGTGTTTAGCATCAAATATGAAAGAGGGTGATGACAAAAAACAAGTTATCATTACTTTTGCTTTATTCAATGGCAACATTGTACATAATTAAATGTTTAGTAGTAAATATGAAGGAGGGAAGTAAGATCCCACATGCTTGAGCTTTACACGATTATATACCTTTTCTTGATTCCTCAAGTAGCCACGTCTCCCTTTTTTTACACCATTTTGTATTAATATATATATATATATAATAAGATAAGATATAAGAATTTTTTTAACAAAGATACTGAAAAACAAACAATGTGATTCAAGGAAGCCACAAGAGAAGTATAATGCACACCTTAAAAGACAACAAAGATACCAAGAATCTGCTCAACCTTTTATTACATTCAAGATGGTTATCATGTTTTTGTAAATACAACTCATCCCTCCTAATTCTATTCCTAGCCAAGAGATCTACCAAGTGTCAATTGATCTAGGTTGCCACCTAAACAAATAGTGTCAATCATAGATTTTGATTGGCCAAAGTTTTTTTAGTATCATGCCTTTCTAGCATCATAAATTTTTCCTATTTATATATGTTATTGGTATTCACTCCTAAAGTTCATAATCCTTAATATTTATATGTTTTTGTGTTTGTCATTTTGACTACTCAATATGCTAATCCATTTGATGTTGGTTAATGTTGTTCTCTATTTGTTTTAGTTTCTTTCTTAATGTTGTAGCTAGTTTGTTATGTTCTTAGCCAACTTGTTTTAGTTCTATGTCTGTGGTTTTGTTGTTCCTATTGTCTTGTTTGCTCTTTGCTTAATGAAATTTCTTTTTTACTCAAAGAAAAAAAAAAGAAACATACCACAATCTTAGAATTTTTTACATTGTAATGGAAATTAAGACCTTGGTAATTGAATAAATTTTGTTACTTCAAAAATACAAAATAAAAACCTATGCTTTAAATACAATATGGAGTTCTCAACCTCTAGCGTAAAAAGATGCCTAGCTAGCCCATTCTACTCTTCCTACATACATAATTAAGTCTAATGGATCAGCATAAATAATTAATCCATGGGCAATGTACCCAATACCAAAATTATTGTGCTATCGAGTATCAATTAGAATTTCTTAATTTTACCAACTACAAAAATTGTTGGTTGTTGTAGGAATCATGTGTTGTCTAGCAAAAAGTGTTGTGGAGAGAGAACAATGCTTTGGGGATGTAACTTCGTATTAGCATCGAGGATCTTGTCTTAGAACTTGATTGTCGAAGTCACCCGTGAATCTAGAATATTCTATAAACTGAATAAACCGGACCTAGAGATGGGATAATGACCAGTAGGCCCAATAAGAAGTCAAAGCACTGAACTAAGACAAACAATCATAGTTTGTAATAATAAATAAGAATAGGGATATAATTAGTAATAAAAATCAGTTTTTGCCAACCAAACTAATTGAAACTTTTTCATTTTTATTATAATATATATATATATAGTAGATAAAATTAATGTACATTTTACAAATAGCTTATAACATAATCTGTGCTTTGTTTTGGTTAGGCCTTTAACTTTGCAAAGTGTATTAGTATTTTTCATGTTTAAAGAATTCCTAAAGTATGCTCAGGTTTTCTAATAATAGGATAAACTAGTGGAAAGGGAATCCGTGCTAAGAACATGCCAAAACACTTTTAATTAGTAGATTAGCTAAGTATAACTAACAAATCAAGAAGACAAAAACGGGGAAAAACACAAATGATGTTAATTAACAAATGAATTTGTTAATTATTAATTTGTGCAGTAGTCAATAAGCCAAAAAAATTGGTGCATTTGTTAATTTGTCTCTCCTAGAACCCTCACTAAGATCTTCTTATGCCTTGATAACTTTAATCCTTTTATGCTCTCTATGACAAAAGAGAGAGTTATAGACAAAAGAACAAAATAATAATAATAATAATAATAATAATAATAATAATAACAACAACAACAACAACAACAACAACAATAATATTAATGGTTGTTTTAGCATCTTCATATTGCTCTTAAAATGGTTCCATTCCATAAGATAAACCAAATGTTCATCTGATTAAGCTTTCTTATGGTCGAGTATTACTCAGTAATTAATTAACTAATAGATCTAATGAAAGTTTTCCCAAATATTTCATAGCCTTTGATTTGGGGTTTCTAATTTGGTGGAAAAGCAAGGTCCACTAGTGGTTTTTTCCCATTCAAAGAAAATAGAGTGCTTGATCATCTATGCATAATTGATCAAATTATGTAATATTTATTTAATTTATGGGGTTGAAGCCTTCTCCATTTCGGTTAAGGATCTATAAAATAAATGCTTCACTATACCACGTTTTCCATCCGCGGTCCTCTTTGGGCTTCTTTACTGTCTAAGTTGTCCTTGTTGCACACTACCATAGGGGTGGTAAAGTCCTGTAGATTTAGGTTCTCTAGGTTGGCAC